GAGTTCGGCTCAGAATTACGGCACGTTCTAAACCTGGTGTAGGGATGGTTTAAACCCAGCTTTATAACGTTTCCATGGATTTGGGGGTAGAATATTTCGATATTTTGAAATATTTCGATGTTGCAGAAATGTTTTATGGTAATGATAATTGCATTGATAGATTCTGCAGTATTAAAAAAGCTATTCTACAAGAAAAAAATTTATGGCCATATTGCATGGGGAATTTTCTTTTTGCACAACTCTTCAATAGCTGTTCAATGTGCCGTTTTAACACTGATGTAGCTGTAGTATAAAGGTTTGGAAGATACTTTTAAAATACATAAATGTACATAAACAGGAATTTTATAGAAACTTTCTAATATACCAAATTTAAATTAAATTACGAATTTTACACTTTCGAACAGCTGATGATACGCATTCCAATAATTTCTAATAATGCCGAATTCCCTAGAGATAAAAAGTCTTTCAGTTATCTGATTAATCAGGCTATCTACATGGCCGTAGGAACCGGGCCGGGGGAGGGAGGACATGTCCGTCCCCTATAATTTCGCCGCTGTATAAAATTCTCTAGAAAACAGCTAATACGTGTTTTCTCCAAAATAATGTATTATATATTAAGTTTTTTTTTCATTTGATTTTAAACTAAAAATCTAAATTTATACATTGTTCCTTTATTATTTACCTATATATTTTGTTTTGGTATTGTTTCTAAATTACTTATTCCAAAGACCCCATCCCTGTTTTCTTCTCTTCAGTCTTTTGCAAAAGCTTTATTCTGTTTGCGATTTTATGTTTTCTTATGGTTTGATTTTCAATGAAAGATGCCGTGATTTGAATTAAATTGTATTGCATTTTTAATTTACAATTTAACATCAATATATATATTTATTTTTAAATATATCCTTTTAATTTTTAACCAGTTACTAGAATATTAAAACTTGTCTTGTTTTGAAGTGCTGTAATATTAGAAAACCTATTATCCTTCAACATTTTATATGAGTAAGTCAAGATTAGGTAAACCTTACTCAGTTTTATAGCGTGCAACAGAAATGCGACTCAGGTAAACCCGACTCAACTGGGGTTTAAACCCGGCTTACGTGATCCACGGATCAACCACAGAGCTGTACTTATCTGAGACATAGATACGCAACCGGCCAATAATATCACATTCTTATTTTTGTAATCTTTCAGCCCATTCAAACAGAAGATTCTACAGTGCATCCCTCTGACATTGCACATCTTTACTGGGAGGCCAGGGCTCAGGGTTTTCAGGATCTGAGAGGGAAACTATTTACTGCAGCTTTCCTTAGGATGTTGTTCACAGGAATAGACAATGTTAATGTAACCTACTCCACCTCAGGATCAGATACTTTCCTGGATCGGTGTGGGTACATCTTGAAAGGCCCCACAGAAGAACAGTCTTGTGTTACAGATGATCAATTCCAAATGAACACAGTGTTAAGTTCTAAAGAGAAGTACAAAATGTTCTTAAAAAATCAGAACACGGTTGCATTTGACTTGAGGGAAACTTCTCAAAAAGTGACACCAGATGTTTCTGTTACTATCAGGAATACTGTAGTTTTGATAGCTGATGTGGCTAGTGTTTTTGAACTTGAAAGCAGGAAATTACAGGAACTTCATCTTAAAATGCTGTTAAGCCTTGACAAGTGTGGAACTCTGTTTGGTTTGTTAGTACAAGGACAACAGATTTATCTTGTAGAATACACATATGAACATAAAAGTGGTTACAGAAGATTTATCAGTCAAAAAGCATTCAAATACACAAGGAAAGATATTGATCTTCTATATTGCTTCTTACAGAAGCAAGTGATAGAAAAATGGTGTGATAGAAACTAACTTTGATGATTGAAAGAGACACTTTGGTACAAAAATACTATATCCACTTTTCATTTGAAACTGATAAGCACTTTTCAGTCTTCATGTACAGTCAATAAAAAAAGTTTTAGTTTGCATATGCTCTTCTAAGTTTTTATGTAAACCAGTGATAGAGTATATGTTTCTGTTGAAAACATGTTTTTTTAAAAATTAGGTTTTGTAGATAAGCTATCTTTCTCTGTTATTTTTAATTCAACTCCTATAAATAAAATATTGAAGTATTTTCTATAGTTGTATTTGCAGCTATTGCACTTCCCTCTAGTTTGAATAAGATTTGTGGATTGAATAGCAACATATTAATTCCATTCAGTTGTCGCCATTAATCTTCAAATATGCATTCTCCACTGTTTTTTTTTTAATATACTAAAATTACAAGGGCAATGCAAAGCAGAGTCCTCGCAAAGGGCATATCTATAAATAGAGAGAGCATTGGATATCTTTCCCAGTGCAAATGACATCAAATCTATTTCACAAGGACATGACACAAAAACACGAATAAGTTGCTATATACCCTCCTCTACTTTGAGAGTGGATAATTATAAAGTGTACTATGACTAAGACCAATGTTTTTATTTTTTAACCTTAAAAAAAAGGGAATTGGATCTACCCCTTAGCTATATTAATGAAGAGAACTCAATTTACAAGAGCCCCATTTTCAACATGTGATTTTAACCCTCTAGAATTAGACCCTGGGATATTTGATTAATTAAAGGCATACACAACATAGTTTGAACTTACGAGGGACGTTCAATAAATAATGTCATCGGGGCTCGGAAAGAAGCAAAAGACGCTTTTGAATGATTTAGTCTACATGATTTTACTTATTAATCTCTTTTGATTAAAACAGATGTCCGTTAAAGTTTTTATTTAATTTCTAATTGTATTTAGAACACATTTTTGGGTATGACCCTTAGTATACTGGAAAATAGCAGATCCAATGATTTCCTGGACTTGTTTTTTTTCTTTCTGAAAAGTGGTTTTTCAAGTTTGGAAATAGAACCAAGTCAAAATGTAAAAGATCTAGCGAATATTGTTAATGTGAAAAAATATTAACTTTCTTTTTATCCCGAAAACCCCTTTATTCTTCAGGGGTGCAGGGTTTGGACGCTGTCATGAAGAAATTTAATGTAGTGGATTCCTGATTCTAGGTCCTTCCTCTAATAAACCTTTCGATTTTTTTGCAAAAAGATTGCTTTCTCCCCGAATACGAAATTGAACAACAGTACCACTAATATTTAAGAAAATTGCATATAAATCTGTCTTTGTGTTCTTGCATACCTTTGCTCTTGTCGGACCATTGCTGTTTTTATCAAGTACATCTTATGGTAAATTTTGTATTGAGTGTTTTAAGCAATAGATTCATGTTCCATTATCTGTTTGAATATGAAACAAACTTGGATAACTACAGTTACTGATATTTTAAAATAATTGTTACATGTAAGACATTCCTACAGGCTGTCGTTTTCACTCATTTTTCAAAATACAGGGTGATCTTTGAGTACCAAGCTTTTTTACCGTCAAACGTTTCTTAAAAACATTGTAAACTACTCCCGATATGATGTCTATCAAATTTGCTATGTATCTTAAAGTCAGTAATATATCATCAGATATTATTTGTTGAAATTGGGCAAATAGTACATAAGTTGTTATAATTTTTGTTGGCAAGGACGGTACCCATTTTTGATGCCCATTATATAATTTTTTATCATTGAAATCCACTTGCTTATTTGTCTATAAAACAGGCATTGGTTGATGTAAATGTCACATATTTCAGTGAAAATTTCTTTGGGATTTTTAACACGTTTTACAGCAGCTTTAATGATTTTCACTCTAGTTTACTGAATCTTTACCATTCATTTATATTAATGCAGTGTCTCGAATAGCCCTTGTTTCCCAGCTTCTCACGATGAAACTATGTGATGAAAAGTGGTCACATAAACTGTTATCAATTCATTAAAGATACAATAATTAGAGAAAGTCTAGCTTAATGTCATATGATTTCTATGTTGTATGTCATCGAGCTAATGACATTATTTATTGAACGTCCCCAATAATTGCATTTTTCCCTGGAGTTGAAGAGTCCAATACTTGAAGGAACTGTGTGCTACATTTTATTGTCTATACATGCATATGTTATTGTACACTTCTTTTTAAAAAAATTGGATAAACAAAACACTGAGAAGATATGTTTAGTAATTTTTGCATATTTTTCATTAAATTATACAAGCATTTTCATTAATTGATATCTTTTCAAAACCCCTGGTAATGCATGCTGATTTTTTTGTCTATGAACATTTGATGGCACTATATAAATCTTATATTTAAATAATTATCAGTAGGTAAGGTACATTGTGTATGTCCTAAACTGATGATTGGGTGTTGAGAGAGATACTTGGTTTTCTTTATTATTATTATTTTATTTTATTAATGGTCTGTTGAAGTATTGTTCTATATATGAGCACAATCTACATGTGTTATTTGTAATTGACGTAGGCAGGATATATGTAATTTAAGATCGATAAAATACTTGAGATGTACTTTAACATGACCATATCATTTGATAAGTTAGGGTGTATTCAAAACCGAGTATAACTTCAAAGTAGACCATTTTACATGAAATTTTGAGCACGATGAGTACTGAAATAAATATTTCAAGAGAATAATTAACACATGAAAAAAAAAAATGATTTTATTGATCTATAAGAATTATTTGAAATGCTAGACTAAGTAGGACCCTTTCCTCACTGCGTTAGCCTAATAAAGAAGGGGATATGACAGATGAAGTGGACAAGATTTGATAAGTTCTGAACTAATATTATACTGGTTATTTTCAGATGCGTTCAGAATTTTTTTTATCCGGGTTTTATTTCAAAATAACGACTAACAGTATGTTCCTAACTTTTCCAGAATATGCGGGTAATGTAAATGTAATAACATTGGATCAACATATTTCTGTTAAAAAGTTGATCAGCTGAGAGATATCGTCCGACAAAGAGTTTGTGAAGCATATAATTTGCATGACCAGAAAAAGTGGGGAAAAGAATGGATCTGAAAGCTTATTTTGAACCATGAATATTTTTTAACAATGTCGTTTGCCATTCAGGTTTATATTGAACCATATGACCCCAAGTATCCCTCTTTCACTAGTACCTTTCATAAAAAAAGGAAATTGTACCGGTATACTAAATATTTTTCCCTTTCCTGTGACATTTGCAGGTCTATTATATTATGACCAGTGCAAATGAATTCATAAATTTCTTCCTCATTTCCTTGGAATATATTAAAGCACGTTCATACCAATTTCGACATGTAATTGATTCAGTAATAGAACGCGTTTACATATGCCGAAGTTGGAAAACATTAGATTTCTTAAACTACCATTGGCATTATCAGGATTATATTTATGGTTGGTGGGGTTACTCCTGCATTGTTTTCCGTCGGTAGGGGGTTGTGAGTGGTCCTCGTGGGCAGAATGTCCGACCTACTGCGGTGGTAGTGAAATACAACATCGTGTAAGGAACTGTGGGAACTGTACCCAGAAATGCAATCCTACTGATATAGAGAGCAGGCGTTGTAACAATACGGAATGTCATGAATTCAGTGGTAAGATTTTAAAGATTGTTGTGCATTAAAATTTTACATTCTAGACATAGCTTAAGTTTTGACTGTAACCCCCCCCCTCCCCGGCATGCCTTGAGAAGTTTCGAAGTTGCAATGAAATACTTAGGTGAGTTTTAAAGAAGATGGGGGGGTAAGGCGGGCAGAATGCCTATAGCGTCAGATATTAAGAAATCACATTTGATATGTAAATTGAGTATTTAAATTTACTTCTCATTATTGAATTTAATGAAATTATGAGAGAAAAAAACATTTTCTGAGAAAATAAATCTCTTAAAAAATTTCATTTCTAAAAATATTAGATGGTAAACATGGGATTCGAACCCCCAGCAATAAGATGCGAATGGTTTGTCACAAAAGTGTACTTTTAAGGTATAGTGGGTCTTCGCTCCATTTTTTGTAAACCAACAAATATTTATTTTATCACAAACTTTTAGGATTATCTTTCAAAAAATGGAGCAAAGACCCACTCATATTGAAAAATTTTGTTAAAGTATGCAAAAATGATCGTTTCTGTGCTTTAAAGTATGTGTATGCTTTTTCATTGGCAAATATTTTCAGTCTTTGTTAGATTTTTGTAAATTATAGAGATTGTACATTAAGTATACATTAATATTAGGTGAAATATGATATAAAATTTGGATTTTATTAAGATTAAATTTTTCACTTCTTATCTGTCGCGATATATGTATTCTGCCCGCCTTATCCCCCATCTTCTTTCTTAAAGTTGTGTGAAACAATTCATTTCAAAAATGAAAATTCAAAAGTCTATTAAACAATACAAATTTTGAAGCAGAGCAAACACGGATCTTTAAGATAAGCTCGAACTCACGACCTTCTAATAACAGAGGCAGAAGTGATTTTGAAGAGACTATTTTTTTTCCTTAGGTATCTCGGATATCTAGATTTTAGGTCTATATAACCAGGTTTGGCTGCATATGACTATTGACGAAAAATAATTTTTGTACTAGTGGTCGTTCATCAAGTGAATATACTCCTATTCATAAATCGCGCTTAGAAATCGAAAAAAAAAAAAGAATTAATTAACGCATAATTGTTTATATGAAAATCTATTACAGATTCAAAAGAATTAAGCATGACTTCAGCTGGAACTACTCAGAGCGTTTTAAATGTTACTGATATGACGGCGGCGAAAGTTCTGTCCACTCCTAATGGTTACCACGAAGAAAATTTTACTACTACGGATGATTCTGCGAAAGATTTCCAGTTGAATAAATTCGACCCAACAGCCAACACAACGCAGAACAACTTGACCACAAAAATAATCACCATTATGAAATTATCGACAGATGTGAAAAATGTCACCGAAGGTTAAAAGACAACTTTTTAGGACCTTTTTTTTAATTTTATCAAGAATGAAATGAATGTAATAATATGAATGCCATTAACCGTTAAAGTTTTTTTTCTTCCTTTTTTTTTAGACATAGTCTCATTGCCAACAGCTGCTTTAACGCCCAAAGCATGCTTACACAGCACAGGGGAAGAGGAAAACATTGGTACTAACAAGTGCATTTCATTATCAACTGCGAGGTTAAAAACAGAGAATACAATCGGACATCACTACAAATTTTCCCATACTGATTGTTTGTCTGTTTTCTCCTCATAATGAATAAATTACAAATACATTTGATATTGCCATATCATTTTCAGAGTATATCTGTAAATGCTGTGCAGTTAGGACTGCACTCTCATAATTTCACTCAAACATAATTTGCACACTATATAATAATAAAAATAGCATAATCATATGCTATTTTATAATAATCAAAGTTACAGCTTTCAGGTACATCCGGGAACTCTTCATTGCCATTTTAGTTTTCCTGTTGGTGCTTGTTTTTGCTGCCTTTTTGTGTGAGAGGAAAAAGAGGTAAATGTAACTTCCAAATGAGTATTTTGGCAATCTAATAGACTGATACCTTCGGGAGTATTTATTTTTATGTAAAATGGGTTTTATCAGCAGGGCTACTTGTAAGATTTTTTTATTTCACATATTACTCCATTTTAACAAATAATAATTCAAGTTCCTCTAAAATAGTTTAAGGTATTTCCATCCTCCTATGACATCATAGGTTTGTGCAAAAACTGTTATTTTTATATCATGAACATCTGCACTGTATATCTGCTCTCAAAATCATTTTTCTTCTATCAAATAAAAATAAGGAAATAAAAAATATACGTACATATATGCTAGACATAAGAAAAAATGTTATGGCCGTCTCTGATAGCACATTATAACATATTGTAAATGTGCCTCTATATATTTGAATATACTTTTTTCTTTTCAGATTAAAGCAGCAAAGAGAACATTCTTATATCTTTACATTACCACCCAATACAGAACTTAACAATATAAGGGAATCCAATGTTTTTTACCATACAACTTTGGATTTTTCCAATCTCTTTATTGACGATAGAGCCGAGAGACTATCATCCTGTATATATCAAGATATTACTGATTTAATTCCGTTGGATAATTTGGTCTCATCGAGGTCAACATATCAGCAAATACCAGTCAATCATGTCAATACAGAAGATGTGCAATAATAAAAAAAAAAAGGTTTTGGGTATTAATACAAAACCGGATTAAACAAAAACAATAGAAATATATACCAAAGACATAATTTTGGTTTAAAAATGATGAAACTGCACTTTTAAAATTGAAATATTGCATATTAACATGTGACATGGTACAGTGTATCTTTATTTTCTCTTCTCATGTACAGCAAAATTATTTTATGATAACATGTATAGTTATGAACAATGAAATACAATGTACACAAGTCATTTTGATAATCATTATTTTCTAGCATTCAAAAATAAACCTAATATCTTTAAAGCTGAATGTACATGTTACAAATGTTGTATAGAGACTGTTCATCCTTTAAGAGTTTTAATCGTCATGAAGTTCTGCTGTGTTACCAGGACAATTGGTTTCTAGATCTTGTGCATCTTCATAAGCAGTCCCACACCAAACACAATATAAATGTCTTGTTCTTAGATAATCTGTTAAAATTTCCAATTGTTCTACACTACTCAAGAGTGAATCTTCCTCTGTCTTTTCACATTCATTGGACTCTTCATCACTTTCATCTTGTTTTTTGTAAGTATCGGGCCAAAAGAATTGCCTCTCTGGTTCTGCTAAATTAATCCGTGCATCAAGATCAGCACACACTTTCTGACTTTTATACAAATCGCTATTTGCTCTTTGTTCTGAAAACTTATTACTCATCCGACCAACAAAGTTCTGTTTTGCTTCTGACATGACTTTTTGTCTTTTTTCTTGGGCTATTGCCGACTTCGCCCTAAAATCTTCTAATTTCCTCTTGACTTCATTATCTCTGCCAAGCCCCCCTCTTCCTGCCTTTAACTCAATAGGAACAGGTTCAGAGCGACCTTCACCTTTCTTTCCAATAGCCATACCCGGTTTATATCCCATTTTCGAAAGTAAAGCAAACCCCTTATTATCACTTGTAATGGCAGATTTTAAACCTTCTTCTCGTTTTTCTGTCTCTAAAACTTTCTTGGGTTTGACTCGATTTTGGTCATCTTTCTCCCTTTTCTTCTTTTCCTGCTTATGCGCTCGTGATGTCTTTGAAGAGAACACAAGTCCGGGTCTTTTATCCACGAGATTTTGCAAGAAACTCTCGGACATATAATCTTCTTCGTCTGACATACCTTTCTTATTTGGTTGATAAAATAGTAGGAAGTTAAGCATGCACGCTAAAGTGAAAGTATATTTGATAGGATGTAAAATTTCCGGGATGATATCAAGAACAGTTCAAATCTCTCCCTTCGACACACTTTAACAGGATGCAATTAAAAACTTTACCATTTCATTTACCTGCAATAATGTAGCCCTCCCCCTTTTTAGGTCACCTGAGTTTTGCTATCTTTTTTTTTTTGTCAGTCGTCGTACGTCGGTCCTAATCTTTTGAACATTTTTAGCTTCTTCTCTTGAACCACTGAACCATTTTCAATCTTTGGCATATAGCATCTGTGGGTGAAGGGGAACCAAAAAATGTGAATTTTCATGATACCTGCCCCCATGGGTATACACAGGGACCAGTAAGTAAGTGTCAATCAAGTTCCAGCATCCAATGATGGACCTTCACGCACTTGATTGACAGGGCTACCCAGACCAGGTACAATGAAGCGCATTGAAGTGGTAAAATTTTCCATTTGGATGAAACGTTCTGAGTCATGCTTTGACCGTCAATTATAACATAACGACACGCCCATTTCTTTAGAAACGAGAAAGAAATATTCGTCGTAATGTTTTATATAGGGCACCCCATTTTCCGCGACACACAACATGAGTTACACTAAATTGAAGGTTTTTAAATAAGAAAAAAATATAGAGAGAGTCCCCGCTTTTGTAAAACACGCATTGCAACGAATTTGTACATAATTATGATTCTATCATGTTTATTGGAGTTAGCATAACACATGTATCGGTCGAACACGTGCTATATAGGGTTTTAAGAAATAGTTAATTATCATAGATTCTATTATATTTTTACAGAAAAAAATTGTCAATTTGAAACCATAGGCTAAACAAAATATATTTAAATAAATACCTGAATACCTGTTCTACAGGTATTCGATAATTGAATCATTTGACCGATTTTTCCTTTCTAAAGAAATGGGCGTGTCTTAAGATAGCTCAAAACGTTCAATCCAAAAAAAAAATTTTACCACTTCAATGCGTAATTAAAAATTGTTAAAAAAATTTTAAAATAAATTGAAAAAAAAGTGGAATGCTTAAAATCTCTAAAAAAAAATGTCTGGAGAATTAGAAAAGACATTTTAACAAAATATAATAAATAAAGAATTTAAAATAATTCATAGCACTGGGTATAAAGTATATGATGTAATTAATTTCTTTTGTTCTCTCCCTGAGTGTCTCTTCCAAAATTGTGAATCTCATATCCCCAGGGTCAGTGGTTCTGGAGTTATGGCGGGGCTCTGTTGATTTTATAGTGAAATTGCGATACTTCTTTGAAAATCTCCTCTGCTCCTGGGTATAAAGCTAATGCATTAAGTACATAGTTATAATGAGGAAGAGTACGTCTTCCAAAAATTGTGAATTCCATGGCCCCTGGGTCGGGGGTTCTGGTGTTAGGGCGGGGCTTTATTGATTATTTAGTGAAAATGCATTAATTCTTTGAAAACTTTCGCTCCCCTCCTGGGAATTAGACAAACTATTTAATGTATAGTTATGATGAGCAAGAGTGTCTCTTCCAAAATTGTGAATTTCATGGCCCCAGAGTCGGGAGTTCTGATGTAAGGGGGGGGGGCTGTATTGATTATATAGTGAACATGCTGTGATTCTTTGTTGAAAGTCTTCTTCTCTGCTCCTTGGTATTAAACAAACTAACTACATACTTAGTCATGATGAGGAAGGTGTCCCTTCTAAAATTGTGGATTTCATGGCTCAGGGTCAGAGGTTCTTGTGTTTGGGCGAGGCTCTTTGATTATATAGTGAAAATGCATTAATTCTTTGAAAATCTTCTTTGCTCCTGGGTATTAAGCAAACTAATTACGTACATAATGAAGTTATGATGAGGAAAGGTGCCTCTTTGAAAATTGTGATTTTCATGCATGGCCCCAGGGTCAGGTGTTCTGGTTGAGGACGAGGGGGGGGGGAGGGTTGGATCCAATTAATACTGAAAATGAATTAATTCTTTGAAATCTGCTCCATTATATTAATCAACCATTTATGATGATCAATGGTACATTTTCCAAAATACATGTGAAATGTGTGGACCTAGGGTCAGGGGTTTTTGTGGGGTGGGGACACTACTGATTATTGCTTAATATTACTGATTAGTTGAAATGCATTTTTTTTTGTTCTCCTATTCTGTCTATGTATACTAAGTAACCAAACTACTAGTATACATGCTAAGTTTATAGTTATGATGAGCAATGGTGCGTCTTTCAGATTGTGAATGTCATGACTTGGGTTTAAAACACGAACCAAATTCAATTGTTGGAAAGCTGTTGCATGATGCCCAGGTGACCTATAATCTCTTGTGTACATTTATTTCTCAAAAAAGTAAATGATTTGCAATGTAGAAATTCACGCATTATACATTTTAATTCAAAGCATTTTTACTCAGGGGCGTAGCCAGGGTATTTTTGATGTGGACGCCTGAATATAGGCAGGGGGGCTGGGTACCGCCTTAAGGACCCCATTGGGTCCAGGGCGAAGCCCTAGTGGGGGCTCGGAAGCTGGTGAATTTTCGACGATTTCGATGTGCATATTTGACCCTCCAGTCCTGATAGCATTTATCTAACACTTTTACGTAGCCACGTTTGAGATTTTTTTTTTGTACAAAATGCGGAGAAACACTCAAAAATAAGAAAGGGTCTGTCAAATAGCGTTGTTTGACGAAGCCACTAAAACAATTTTAGACTTTTGAAGCTCCACAAAATATGCATGGTAACATATGGTAGTTGCACAGGCACCTTTTTATTTTTCTTTTAATAAAAAAAAAATATATATAAATCACACGTAATAAGAAAGGTATGTATATATATATATATATATATATTTTTTATTAGAAGAAAAATAAGTAACGTCAGGTGCCTGTGGATAGTTGGTTAGAGTGGTTGACTGGTTTAAACAGACCATGTAATTGACTGATAGTCAGGCTTACATTAATGTTAAAATATACACCTCTAAAGATTGAAATAATAAAGACAGAAGAATTCTTTTCTACTAATTTGCTTGCACATTACCTATCGGGTATGTTCATTGTATACATTTTAAAATGAATGTTCATAAATATTCAAAAATCTGGTAATTTTAACGTTTAGCAAAAATTATAAAAACATGTATAATATACTAGTGGTTTTAAGGTAGTGTTACGGATGTCAGTACTTAGACCTTATAATTTTTTTCAGTTTTTAAAACTGAATTTTACTAATTTTTTGATGTTTATATATAAAGCTGAATTATGATTTTTAAAATCTCCCATGAATCCGATATTAGGTTGAATTTTTTTTTTTTTGGGGGGGGGGGGGGGGGGGATATCGTTACAGAAGTTAAGCATTACGGTTGGAAGTTCATTTCCAGTAATAGAAATTGAAATTATTGGCATTAAATAAAATCATTGTTTGTTTTAAGGGAGCTCGAGCCGACTGGGGTTTTATTGTGTGAAATCTGCAATAGAGAAACACTTTAAGAATGTAATAATATTACACTTTGAAAAAACTCAACAATATTCGATAGTTAACCAAAATCCGGGAAAATCTTTTGATTTCAGTGAGGTGTATAATATCGTATTTTATTTCTAAGTTTTTTTTTTCTATTCTTAAAATTATTTACATGTAATGATTTTATATAAAAAAAATATTTGCAAAAATGATGAGTATACTTTAAAATATTACGCCTGTCTCGCTCTCCTCTCCTATCTCTCTTTATTATTTTACTTTTTTTTGGAAAATGATGTGGACGTTTGTGCGTACAAACGTACGCCTGGCTACGCGCCTGTTTACTGCATTTTCTTACATCTTAATTTATAAAAACCACTCAGGATACTGATATTATGACGGGTGAATCCCCCACCCTGATAGGAGATGTCCTTCGACCAAAAATAACACGTAGAGTGGGCTGCTGGAACGTGCGGACCCTCTACCAAACAGGAAAACTAGCACAAGTGGTGAGAGAAATGGAGCATTACAAGATCGAGCTTCTTGGAGTAAGTGAAACTAGCTGGACAGGCAAGGGATCAAAACAACTAGTGTCAGGACATCAAATACTCTACTCTGGAAGAATTGACGAACATCATAGTAGAGGAGTAGCAATAGTCACAACAAAAGAAGTTTATAGAAAGTCTATTAGAATTGAAACCTGTGAATGAACGGATCGTAACAGCAAGATTTAACTCAGCTTTTGCCAAACTTACTGTAGTGGTGTGCTATGCACCAACACATGACGCAGAAGACGACGAGAAAGTTCTTTTTACGGCAGCTTACAAGAGATAGCAGACAATACACCATCTCACGATGTCCTGCTTATCTTGGGAGACTTAAATGCAAAAGTTGGGAAAAGCAACCAAGGCAAAGAAAGCATCATGGGTAAGCAAGGCTTAGGAGAATGTAACAGCAATGGAGAGAGACTGTGCACTTTCTGCCAAGAAAACAACTTGATAATTGGTGGAACTATATTTATGCACAAAGATATCCATAAGACAACATGGAACTCCCCAGATGGACATACGAAAAACCAAATTGATCATGTCATCATCAACAAAAGATGGAGAAGTAGCCTCCTGGATGTGGTTGCAAAGCAAGGAGCAGACATGGGAAGTGACCACTCATTAGTACTGGCTAAAGTCAAATTGAAGCTAAGGAAATCAAGGAAGAAAGATCAAAGACCGCCTCCTATTAACATCCAAAAGCTTAAAGATCCAAAAGTTATGAAATCTTTTCAATTGAAAGTGCAGAACAAGTTTGAGGCTCTTATGGAACACCCAGATGAAATTGATATAGAAACATTTAATGAGATACTCTTAGAAAATGCGCAACAAATACTTGGCCCAAGAAAGAGGAAAAAAGAGGAATGGATATCAGAGAACACATGGAAAATAGTAGAACAACGAAAAGAAAAGAAAAAGAAAATCCTGTCCACTAAATCAAAGAGACAAAAAGACCAGCTCCAAGCAGAATATCGAACTATAGACAAAGAAGTTAAGAAAAATGCAAGAGCAGACAGAAAGGCATACACTGAAAAACTAGCTAATGAAGCAGAACAAGCAGCTTCGAAACAAGATATACAAACCCTCTATCGTATCACCAAAGCACTAGCAGGTAAATTTCAGACAGCAGATTTACCAGTAAAAGATAAAAGAGGGAATGTCTTATCCAAAGAAGAAGATATACAGAAACGATGGAAAGAACATTTTGAGGAAGTGTTCAATATAAATGATACAGGAAATGAGGTCCTGATAACATCAGCCATTAACATACTGGACATTAATACAGATCCACCCAGTATAGAAGAGGTAAAAAAGGCAATAAAGAGATTAAAAAATGGAAAGGCTGCTGGCATTGACCAGATAAATGCAGAGCTCCTCAAGGCCGAAGAGTACTGGACACCTACCATCTTGACAAATATTCTACAGAACATCTGGGAATCAGAAGAGACACCAACCTTCTGGAGAACAGGCCTTATTGTAAAACTTCCAAAAAAAAGGAGACCTTTCCAACTGCAACAACTATAGAGGAATAATGCTGCTCTCAGTATCCATGAAAGTGCTAAGCAGAGTGATATTAAACAGAATCACATACATAGCAGACCCTCTACTGCAGAAAGAACAGGCAGGACTTAGAAAGGGGAGATCATGTGCTGACCAGATATCCACTAAGACAAATACTAGAGCAGAGCAATGAATGGAACTCTCCACTTTACATCGACTTTATCGACTTTACGAAATAATTTGACAGTGTTAATCGCCTAGCCTTAGAAAAAATTTTGGTCATTGTAGGATCCCTGACAAAATCATCTCCATCATTAAGATGTTGTATACAGACCTAAATGCCAGAGTTATCTGTGGATCAAGCTTATCAGAGGAGTTCGAATTACAGACTGGAGTAAAACAAGGATGTCTGCTCTCCCCTCTTCTCTTTACATTCTGCATTGACTGGATTATGCGAGAAACCATCAAGAATAAGCGGACGGGAATTACTTGGGCCATGACAGAGATGTTAGAAGACCTGGATTTTGCAGACGACATAGCACTGCTATCACACCGCCATCGTGACATGCAAGAAAAAACAAAACAACTAGCAGAAACAGCAAGGAAGATTGGCCTTAATATCAACAACACCAAGACCAAGATCATGAAGGTCAATACTAAATCAGAGGAGCCCATCACCTTAAATAACGAAGAAATAGAAGAAGTCTCAGAATTTGTCTATCTAGGAAGCAAGATCACCACAGATGGGAACTCAGAGGTAGATGTACTAGCTCGAATTTCAAAAGCCACAGGAGCGTATGTTGCACTAAGAAACATCTGGAGGTCAGCAAAGATCAGCACAAACACCAAAATAAGGATCTTCAAGAGCAACGTGCTTGGGGTCCTCCTATATGGTGCTGAAGCATGGAAAGTTACTGAAACCATCTCAAACAAGCTAGATACCTTCCAGACACGCTGCCTTCGCAGAATACTGCGCATCTTCTGGCCAAATACCATCTCAAATGAGGAGCTATACAAAAAGACCAACACCACCCCTCTATCTCAAGTTATAAAGAGAAGAAAATGGCTGTGGATAGGGCATGTATGTAGAATGCACCCAACTTCCATCCCAAGGGTTGCTTTGAAATGGACACCACCTGGCAAGAAAAAGAGAGGAAGACCAAAAGAAACATGGAGAAGATCTGTAGAGAAAGAGATGGGAAAGAACCACTGGACATGGGGACAGATACAGAAATGGACACAGGACAGGCCAGCATGGAAGTCTCTGATGACGGCCTTATGTGCTATCCAGCACGAAGAGGATTAACCTAATTTATAAAATATTCTTCAGATGGAATTTTAAGTACAGCTACTACAACTCTGCAGGATCATGGCCGTAGGAACCGGGGTGGCGGGGGGTAATTTGTAATTTTGCCGATTTATAGAATACTTTAGGAAAAAAACAAAGTTACCATGATGACCTCCCCCCCCCCCCCCAGTTTTTGGCTTGTCAAGAAATTATGGTACAGTGTAGTTGATAGTGCCCCAACTCAAATTTATGGTTTTGCCCCCCCCCCCATAAATACCTGATATATACAGTGTAATTACATTCACTCACACTGAGTCGAAGTACAATTAAGTACATACATGAATGAAAATTTAAAATGGTCTATAAAGATATTAAAAGAACAGTGTTTGATCTCATAAAAACTCCAAGCAATATAAATATGTGATCAAGAACATTTAGATCACTCTGTAAGTCTGTAAACACTTCAAGTATAAACTTGGGAAATTCCAGAGCTGGGATCATGTGCAAGAGATGAGTAAGCATCCCCTGACTGTCGACAAACCACACCTGCCTTGACCCCTAAGTAATCATCAAATAGACCTGTCGTTTTATAGTCAAAATGAGTATATATAAAAACAAAGGTCTAATAAATGGTATGAAACAAGTCAGCTAGCTGAAATTCGTCATTATAATTCAATACATTAAGCCTGTAATCGAGATACACTAAGACTTTAAAAGATTCTAAAGTGTAACGTGTATAAAAAAAATTGCGACAAGAAGTCTCTGACGAGACTGTATAGCTCACAGGCACTTGTTTCGGAAATAATTTTTGAACCCATAGTATAATATCTAACTCCGAATTACACTCAGTATCCCCCTCCTCAGAAACACACTCATGAAATGCACTGGCAAACTTTTTATTACCATTGTCTTCTACGATAATTTATCTACACAACCATATACGGCATGCATGTCTTTGTTTTCGTTTATTTCCGTAAACAGCGTCAAAACTATATAGAGCGTCATATATCCAGAATATAGTTCCTCCCACATGCCATATTCATTATTGATTTATCATATTCATCTACTCAACTCATATTACAGCCCATGTCATAACATTAAATTTTTAGAGCTCAGTAAAGCTCAAACCGTACCTTCTTTCTATTTTTATTAACTTTGACAACATCGTTCAATGGAATAAAAAAACAATATATAAAATAATGTATCTTTGTGAAGTCTACATGTGTGCCAAGTTATAATGAAGTCAGACTATAACTGTGGGAGGAATAGCATTGAAAATATTTCGAAGAAATTTCCATTTGTAAAAATCATAGCAGCACCCTTCATTTAGAACAAAAATCTGCGCCTTAACGTATTCTACTTGTGTGTCAAGTTATATTGAAATCGGACCAATACTGTAGGAGTAGCATTTTGAAAAAGAAATTCAAAGTCATTTCTATTTTAGTAACCATGGCAACACCCTTCATCGAAAACAAAAACCAATAAAATGAATTACCGGTATGTATCTTAAAGTCTACTTGTGTGCCAAGTTACACATGCATATTGAAATCAGACCAAAACTGTAGGAGTAGCAGCATTTTGAAAAATTGTTTACAGACTGACAGACAGACAGAGGGACGGGAGGACAGAGGACACATAAGCTCCTCTTATCTTAGATCAGTAGAGCTAATGCTGTGTCTGTTGGAAATAAAATACTAAGGCCTCCGAGTTCCTAAGGTAGGTCAGCATGACCTACATTTTGATTAACACACTTAGAACCATTATGACTCAGTGGGCTAAGAAAGAGAGAGAGTGTATTGCCACCTACCTTGGATCTTCCTAGAAATCGTTTACTATTAAAAGAGTACGTGTAATACAAATGATGCTTGAGAAATTATGGCTAACCCCCCCCCCCCCCCCCCCTGGAAAAATTCCTGGATCCACAAATGGACAAGTCACAATAGTGAAAGTTTCATATTTATTAATGTAAACAAAAAATAAATCAAACAAGCAGTCTCACAAGTTATTGAAACGTCTAATATATTAACATGTGTGTTACCATTATCCATTACTAGTATATAAAGGGTGTTAAGAAAGTTCATTCCAAATTTTTCTTTTATTTTCAAAAAGAAATACGATGTGAAGTTATTTACAATCTGTGATATTTTATGTTTACAGAGTCCATTCTTGCTACTGATAAGGTTTTAAGTGACTTTTGTTGAATCAATAAGGGGAGGGCAGGTATTAAAACAGATGATGCATGTACAGAGAAATTAGGGATGACGCATATTAGTGACATATATATAGCATACAGGCCAAAACATCCTTTCAAATACAATGCAAAAATTATCAAGTCTGTGAAAAATTTTAAAATGAAATTTTACTTATTCTTTTTAAAAATTAATTCTACACTCATCAGGTTGTGTGCTGCAAGATAAGCTATGAAAAACAAAAGTAAATTATCCTTTATTTTCACTCAAAATGACCAGCATTTCTTTCATTTGGGTGCTTTAATGATGTCATATATATTTTCATTTGGAATAAAAGTTCTATAACTTCCTGCTAGAAATGAATTGCTATAAATCTAAAGCACACTCTAGCAATTTTGTCAAACTTGAAAATTCATCTCTTTTGTTAAGCTCTACTTGAAATTTTTGAAAATATTTCATCATGGAACAAACTTTCTAAACACCCCTTAGATCTGTTTTAATTTGAGTACCTGCAGTTTAGGATCAGCTTATTTGTGCATTACATGTATATTACATAAAGAGTCAAAATGTGACTCCATCAAATAACTGAGACATTTATATGCTTCAGATCTATAATTTTTTGGGGAAAAGAGTTCTTGTGTGGCTCACATAGAAAATATAAACAAAACATGTCTAATTAAATGCCATCATGGTAGCAGATGTAAACCATGGGTTGTACTTGATCAGGCATTCTCTCTTTGATACACATGTATAGCAAATCATGCGGGTCAAACAAATGTGATTCATTATCAGTATATGAAATGAGTTGATAATGTACTTTTTTAGAATGCAGGAAAGAACATTGCTCTGCTGCAATGCAATTTCATTGTAACTGAGTAATATTCAAGTTATGTAATAGTGAAGTATAGATACCAGTATAATTTTTCTTTAGTAATAAATTATCATATACATGTAATATTACAAAGATTCTAGCTAAACTTCTTGGTGCATTTATTTGCATAAAATACTCCACAAGTTAGTAAGAAACAGATTTCTACCCTAAATCAAATGCCCTTGTTTCTTTTATAAAATGAAAAACATGTGAACTTACATAGAAGTTTTCTCACAAATCGTAAATATTTGATTCAAAGAGGAAGTTTTCTTCATAAAAGAAGAGTAAATAACTAAAAAGTTATAAAAAAAATATCAGAATCATAAATTACACTACACTGCAGATTTGGACTAGTTCTGTATCCAAAATTGGATAAATATATTACATAATGTACATAAATATAAAATTAATAATATAAATACATATCATTTGAATTGTCATTCAGTACATGATTTAATTAATAAATTTGTCTTTACTTACAAAATAATAAATTAATATCCTTGGTAACTGTGGTCTTCAACACGAGACTGTATAAAAAAAAATCTAGAGCATCTGAATATAGCCTAGGCCAACACATTTAATAAATATTCATTTAAACAAAATGTTAAAAAAAATCATTATTACACTGATATCAATGCAAGTATAAACTAAAGATAGATGTATTATGCATATCAGAAGAGCACTATAATATAAATTTGCTGAAGCAGTGTTCAACATAGCCTGATCCTTAGCAAGCTAATTATCACTGACAGTCTTGGCAAACAGTGGAGAATAATTAAATTCATTTTCCAAAAGAAACGTTTGTCATCAGATCGGATTACTGACAAGGCTTTCAGTAGATGGACTTGAGGGTCGCTGCGAGGAAAAGAGAATAGCAATTAGCAAGTAGCAATAACTCAGTAGCTGAAAAGATAGCAATAAGCAAGTAGCAATAACTCAGGTGCTCAAGTTAAAGCCATGTGGCTATACATGTAGAAGCATACCATAATTTAACTGCAGATCTGTAGTTCACTGGTATGAAAAATTGGGATAGATGACCAGAGAGCTAGTGCCACCCATAGATAAAACTGTTTATTTATTGTGCACAAAAAGTTGTGCTGGATTTTGGATTATTTTCTCCTAATTCTTACTTCAACTGTACAAAAGCTCTTTTACAAAATATCTCTTTAACTTAATCAACTATTCTCACATTTGATATCAGCACAAAGCGCAAATTTTTCCTTTGTCTCAATGTCAGGCCCACGAGGGCTATTTACAACGGATGCATGTATAAAGCATGTTTTCTTAAGTAAATAGTAAAAGAATAAGTTAAGAACATTGAGAAAAATTGATAAACGGCACACTTTTTTGTGCACAATAAATATACACTTTTTTCAATGGGTGGCACTGTAACTCTCCGGTCTGGCAATATGTTATTTTTCCAGAGAGCTACAGTTCTGCAGCTAAACTTAATTAAAATACATGTACAGTATAGGAGAGATTTACCTCTTGTTCTGAAAATATTATGCTGATGAAATACTATTATAAAATTTGTTGTCAGTTTACTTTATATATGCAAGAGATATCAACTGCAGTGAATGCGTCTGCATGTTTCTTGCTAGTGAATGTCAAATGTTTAAATCTTGCAGAGTTGACTTACTTTATAGTATTTGCTAGTGAAGAAAAATTTAGAGTTTGCATAGCATTGTTTCAAGTTATGTTAAATATCAAGCATTGCAAAAGGCAAAGTTATCCTTAAAATTGTTCAATACCAAGCAAATAGTGAACTTATAATGAAAAGAAAAAGATGTCCAAAAAGACAGACTTACCCGAAATATACAGGGTAGTAGACAGAGAAGAAGGGAATGGTGTAAGTTATACTCTCCGAAACACACAAGTTCGTAATACTGCACGAAGGCCGTCACAGCGAAAATAAGTCCCATGATAGTACTGATGGTCACAAAAATGTGTATCTCATACAAATAATTGTCCCCCTGTAAACAAAAGAAACTTGTTAAAAAATTCAACCAAAACTAGGAGACTTATTGTTCAAAGAACAATAAGAGGTCTTTCCACCTTCTTTGAATTTCAATTTCATTTAATATTTATCTCTTTAAAATTAAATTTCATCAAAAAGAAACCAGGAATGGCTTAAAAGAAGAAAAAATGAAAAATTTAAAAATTTGGAGGTGACCTTGACCTTTGACCTTCAAGTAATATTCAAGGACAAAGGTCAAGGGTCACATTGGAATTAATTATATGCCTCTATGACCTATAGTTTTAAAGTTATAATGTTTGATGGTAAGCACAAAAGCATTAAGGGGCAGTAACTCATTCAAGGAGTCACCAGATCCTTTCGCACTTGAACATAAAAGTTGTGCCTAAAGTCCCTTAGGACATTAGTGAAGGTTTCATGTGTCTGTTGTTTACGGTTTCAGAGCAGTAGCAATAACAAGGTTATTCACACAAGGGGCAATAACTTTTATTAGGGTCAATCTTAAGGTACAAGAATGAAATCATTGAAATAGTTTAAAGAGTACATATCAATGATGCAAAGACATTAAGGCTATCTAAATTTAATTCCCTGGTTCTCAGGCCAATTTTCTCCAAAACAGATGCGGGAGGGCGGCATTTTTATTTATCATTTTATTGGCAATAAAGTAGATGAGGGAGGTATTTTTTTTAATTTTAATTTCCGAATTTTCTTTAATATAAAGATAATTTTTTAAATCACAGATATACTTTCCATTTCTGGTCAAAATTTCTGCTTTACCCATTGCTTAACAGCGTGTAAACATCGTAGGTAATGTCCTCGAATGTATTTTCAAACGAAGTAGCCAAAATCTCATTGTAAATGACTACCGGAAGTGATATTTGAACACTAAACTACGAAACAAATGAGGTCGGAATTTTTTTTCCTGGATTGGTCTCCGCAATACCAACTTTTTATTTTATCAAAAATACAATAAAATCGGCATTGCGGCTACCTCAAAACAGATGCGCGCGGGCCTGAGAACAAAGATTTCAATTTTATATGGCCTAAATATATGTTAAAAGACAAAAGAGATATAAGAAGAGATTAATTTCTCACTTTTGGGATGACCTTGACCTTTGACCTTTACATGAATTTTAAGGTCAAAGGTCAATAAATCTTATGCAGTTGGTCCCATGTCTCTACAACTTCTCATTTTGAAAATATCTAATTATTTGTAAAATTCAAAAACTTTCAGGGGCTGTAACTCATTGAAGGGGTCACCGAATACTTTCGCAATGAATAGATTCCAGAGTCTTCTCAATTAGTCGAAGACATTAGTGGAGGTTCATACCTCTACGGTTTACGGTTTTGGAGGAGTAGCGATAACAAGCATTTCTTGGGAAAGGGGCAATAACTTTGAAAGGGGTCATAGTTCATAGGCATTGGGTCAAATTTGTTCCTAACTTTTAATGACCTTTACGATGAACAAAAAGTCTTTTCGATAAATGTTGAAACAAAAAATCAGCGGAAGAAAAAAAAGAATAATAGGGAAGAAGAATAATAAGAAACAGAAGAAAATCAATAGGTCTTTCCACAGAAAGGTGGAAAGACCTAAAAATACATGTTACTATTGTTTATGGATTTTTAAAAAATTTTCATCCCTTCTTGCCTTTGCCATCAGTTGACAAAAAAAGGGGGGTGAATTCAAGAAGACATAAAAAGGGGAATATTGTTTGTGTGTGTTCAAGGGCAAAAAATAATCTGGTATACAGTGTATTAATTTCTAATATGTTTAAATTAATTTACAAACATTTTGTAAAATTGGATTTTCAAAATTTTTAATCAGTACATGTATATTCATTTTTCAAGACATTCACTGCAAAATTTCCATTTTTTACTGTATAAATGAATGTATCAACAGTATTAATTGTTTAAACCCTTTTATCCTTTTGATTTCCTGTTAGTTACTTACATTATTGGCGTCCTGTGAAGTCCAGTGTTTGGCATAACCAATGATCAGGAACAAAGTAATTCCTGTGTATAACACCAATGTAAACAAAGTCAAGGAAAAAAACTTCTTTATCTGTAAAAAAAAAAACCCCCAGAACTTCCTTATATTTCAACGAACTCTAAAGAAACATAGATAACAGGAATTTCTATCATTTTGAATTGACATAGAGTATACAAAAGTTTATAGAATCTAATGTGTGATTTCTATGAAAGTGTACAACATAATAGTAAGAAATGACATAAAACTTTGTTTATACTTAATACATACCGAGGTTGCTCTCTTACTGATGGAGGCCCTAACTGCAGTACTGCCTAATAACACCATCTGAAAGCAGAAATCAAAGACATTGATTCTGTAATATTTCAGATTTTTTTCTCAGGGGGTAGCCACTGGTATTTATAGTATATTTAACTGCATTTATTGTGCAAAAACATGCATGTGTGTTGAATGTTTGCAAATAATTTAACATAATGTGAAGATTTCTTTTTATTAAGTTTATAGTTTTATGGTTTGAAATGATTCCACAAAATCTTCTAGTGTGTACAGTTTCAGAGGAATACAAAACTTACAAATGCCCCCGCCAGGAGACCAGCTCCATAGCAGTTTCTAGGTCCCAGGAACAGAGGGTAGGGATTATCCAGTTCATTTACAAGGGGCAAATAAAATACCTCCAATACAGCTGAAAAATAAGTCAAACATAATAAATACAGATAGTGGTAAACAAAGGTTTGAAGCATAACAATGTGCAAAGAAACTCAAAGCGCACATCTCATAAGACAAAAATATCATATGAATTCAAAATTTCATTGTTGTATGCCATTTGTATCTTGGTTGCTGATTCTTTCAGAGGGGTGAGAATTCATGTTTATCCTATACACTTTCATGAAAAATCAGTACCTTTTACTATTTTGCTTTAGTCATTACCTAATATAGTAGTAAAAAATCCACTGGCAATCTGTACAATTCCTATAGCTTTAGGCCAGCTGTGTGAGGGAGTTTGGGGAATGTGTCCAAAGTGGATTTCGTCTACTTCCTCCGTCTCCACAGTTATAATACCAGTGTCTGGTACAGTGTCTGTGTTAATGTTGTCCCTCATGGCTCTCTGTCATTCCCTTGTTAAAAAGTAAGAATGTGCAATGCATGAGAAGTGACCTAAAAAGCTGTAACAGTGGAGCCTCATTAATCCAGACAACAATAATCTGGACATATTATTTCCGGGCCGAACTTCAGTTATTGTGAATATTTAGTTTTTTCAGAAGCTTAAAAGATACAAAAAAATAATTGCCACTACTTTACAATACCTATGTATACATAATTTGGCATAATCACTGGGTATGGAGCTATTTGCGTAATCATGAATTAGGGTAACTCATGTCCGTTCAGTGTATTGTATGTGTAAATGATTTCTTAGCTGTATTCATGAAGCCCGCTTCTTAAAGTATACATACAGTGCTTCGTACTATAGTTCATTTCTATACGAAATAGCAGTAGAATGAATAGGAATGGGCATCGCCAAAAATTTTGTATCGTGATATATCACAATTTTTTCCCACAGTATCACGATAATATGATATTTTTAAAAGCAGTTTTTACAATGATTTTATATGAAAAGTCATTATTTTTCTAAAAAATATGCTAGGAAAACAAAATTTTACTTTCTTGAAATTTTTATGTATATAAAATCAATTATGTTTGGACAGTAAGATGCTGTTCTTTTCACTTTTTACAACATTTTTTTTTATTTTCTGCAATTGCAATTTGAAAGATTGAACAAAAAATTGAATAATTTCTGCAGTGTTCGACACTAAAATTTTTAGGCTTTGGTCTGGCCAGACTAGTGCTTCTTTACTTTTACTAGTCCGCGGGCAATTTTATGAGTCCGTCAAAAATAAAAATAAATAAATAGAATTTATGTTGCAATGTACTTTTTATACTTTTTGAAATAAACAAAGCATTTACATGAAAAGTTTATCATTTTTTTTATAAGAAGAATTCGTTGAAATCTCACAATCAGGAACTACGATCGTATTCCCGATCTCATTCATTTTTCTCCATACATGATTACATCATCTAAACATCCGACATCTTTCTTTATGTGTCATCCTAAATCATGATTGCTAAAATGTTTGATATCATACCAATGAGTCCTAAAGTTAAGTGCCGAATTGACTCAGAATTACCTAACTTCCTGCTAAGAAGCTAGAAAGCTAAAAATAAAAACAGGGTTTTCCAGTGAAAGTTGTTGAAAATTTGAACATCGGTAAATTCTTTTTTTTCCCAGAAAACTTCATTAGTCCGTTCGGACTAATCAGCTGCAATTTTTATTGGTCCAAATGAAAATGTATTAGTCTGAGACTAATGGACTAACGTTAATGTTGAACCCTGTTCTGGACTTTAAAATATGTACCTAAAGACCGGTAATTAGGTCTCCCTATCAGGAAATGTTTCACACAACAAAAAATCACAATATACCAGTATACCGATAAAATCGCACATCCCTAAGAATGAGGTATTTGAAGCAGACTATTTCTGGAACTCTTCAGCATCATAGGTTTAGACGAATGGGATATTTCTATGAAACTTTATACTTTGTTGGGTTTAAACCTTTTATTAAAGATAAGAAACTTAAGTTTTATAGTGATGAAGATTTAAAAGGATGTCCATAGGAAAAAGTTGAAGCAGGCAGCTAATTAATTTTCAGCTTGTATTGATTGAAACACGTGGTCAAAGTCCGGGAAAAAAAACCCAATCACTTTATGTGAAACTGGGCTGAGATGTTGAGGGACACCAGACCAAATTTTTAGTTCCTTCGACATCTTGCTGAGATAAGTCACATCATATATTATTATATATATAGTTCACATCATATTATATTATAGTAGAGGCCTTACTTACTGATTTTTCTTCAAAATGATTCTCCACCCTTATTCTGATTTTTAAATGCTTCTTCCTTTCTCAGAACCCAAGGTTTAGACATGTATGTCTAAACCCACATGTAAGGAATTAAGACAGCTCAGCTCTGTATATAGACAGATACTGAGATAGATATCCATTAAATTTTGTAAACAGTACAAAAAATAATTACTTACTTACTGTAGTTTCATGATGATGCACTTGACCTTTATGGTTTTTTAACAATTACAACTCGACGCTAAGCAGACTATACTCTCTGTGTCATGTGAGCTCGATTTCAAATTAAAAGCTTGAAAGTTGAAAGTTGATGAACTACAAAATGTCATGTGAAAGAAAGGGTCGTTCGGAATTAGACAACTCGTGCCATACAAAAATACAATAAACAAACTTTGTATTTTTTTTTTTAGAAAATAATATTACTTTCATAGCGTTTTTATAAATGGAATTATATTTAAAATACATCATTTATTTTTTTAACAGCAGGATCCAGTGTTATACATTGCGAAAAAAAGATCAGGTACAACTTATCTAAAATTATCTAAATGTTAAAACCGGTCAAGATAATGCTCTCCGGCAAATTATTTATTAAAAATTTTAAAATAATTAATATTGTTAAAGTCAAAATTTTATGTAGTAAGCGAAGCTGACTGTTTTTATACAATTGTTAACATTTCAATGTTTTGCAATGGGAAATAAAACAGAAATCATCTAAATCATTCTGCATTTCCGGTATAGCATCGTATCCATGCGACGTCATTATTTACGTTCCGGTTTTGAACCGATGAGAAGATAATCGTGGAAGGTATTGTTAAACAATGCTGATATCCAATCCTGTTGTGTTTAAAGAATTGGAATGCATTGGTAGACATCTGAGAAGGCGGTTGCTTTGCTAATGAATAGTGGCACGGTAAACAGAATATAGAGATGACACCAAGGTGGACATTTACTGCAGTTTGTGTTAGATATGGCAAGAAATTGGTACTGCGTTTTTAGGTGATACTTTTGTACCCTAGGGTACACCCTTATTAAATGTATGGAGAAAAGGTTACAAAAAGGGTACACTATTTATTCCTACTGAAAACGAAAGTAGATGCTTCCCAGTGGTAGGAAGACAGTGTAACATCTATATAAGTAAAATTAAAAATAATGTAGCCGATGCTCAGGGTACAGTGGGTACAAAGGGTACACATGGGTACAGCAGTTTACAACACTATAAGAAATGGATACAAGGGTTCAGGAGACTGAAAATTTCTAAGTCAAAATTAAAAATAATGGAGCTGATGCTCAGGGTACAGTGGGTACAAAGGGTACACATGGGTACAGCAGGTTACAACACTATAAGAAATGGATACAAGGGTTTAGAAGGCTGAAAATTTCTAAGTTAAAATTAAAAATAATGGAGCTGATGCTCAGGGTACAGTGGGTACAAAGGGTACACATGGGTACAGCAGGTTACAACACTATAAGAAATGGATACAAGGGTTTAGAAGGCTGAAATTTTCTAAGTTAAAATTAAAAATAATGGAGCCGATGCTCAGGGTACAGTGGGTACAAAGGGTACACATGGGTACAGCAGGTTACAACACTATAAGAAATGGATACAAGGGTTCAGGAGACTGAAAATTTCTAAGTTAAAATTAAAAATAATGGAGCTGATGCTCAGGATACAGTGGGTACAAAGGGTACACATGGGTACCGCAGGTTACAACACTATAAGAAATGGATACAAGGGTTTAGATTTTAAGGATGAAATTTTCTAAGTCAAAATTAAAAATAATGGAGCTGATGCTCAGGGTACAGTGGGTACAAAGGGTACACATGGGTACAGCAGGTTACAACACTATAAGAAATGGATACAAGGGTTTAGAAGGCTGAAAATTTCTAACTAAAGTTAAAATTAAAAATAATGGAGCTGATGCTCAGGGTACAGTGGGTACAAAGGGTACACATGGGTACAGCAGGTTACAACACTATAAGAAATGGATACAAGGGTTTAGAAGGCTGAAATTTTCTAAGTTAAAATTAAAAATAATGGAGCCGATGCTCAGGGTACAGTGGGTACAAAGGGTACACATGGGTACAGCAGGTTACAACACTATAAGAAATGGATACAAGGGTTCAGGAGACTGAAAATTTCTAAGTTAAAATTAAAAATAATGGAGCTGATGCTCAGGGTACAGTGGGTACAAAGGGTACACATGGGTACAGCAGGTTACAACACTATAAGAAATGGATACAAGGGTTTAGAAGGCTGAAATTTTCTAAGTTAAAATTAAAAATAATGGAGCCGATGCTCAGGGTACAGTGGGTACAAAGGGTACACATGGGTACAGCAGGTTACAACACTATAAGAAATGGATACAAGGGTTCAGGAGACTGAAAATTTCTAAGTTAAAATTAAAAATAATGGAGCTGATGCTCAGGATACAGTGGGTACAAAGGGTACACATGGGTACCGCAGGTTACAACACTATAAGAAATGGATACAAGGGTTTAGATTTTAAGGATGAAATTTTCTAAGTCAAAATTAAAAATAATGGAGCTGATGCTCAGGGTACAGTGGGTACAAAGGGTACACATGGGTACAGCAGGTTACAACACTATAAGAAATGGATACAAGGGTTTAGAAGGCTGAAAATTTCTAAGTTAAAATTAAAAATAATGGAGCTGATGCTCAGGGTACAGTGGGTACAAAGGGTACACATGGGTACAGCAGGTTACAACACTATAAGAAATGGATACAAGGGTTTAGAAGGCTGAAATTTTCTAAGTTAAAATTAAAAATAATGGAGCCGATGCTCAGGGTACAGTGGGTACAAAGGGTACACATGGGTACAGCAGGTTACAACACTATAAGAAATGGATACAAGGGTTCAGGAGACTGAAAATTTCTAAGTTAAAATTAAAAATAATGAAGCGGATGCTCAGGATACAGTGGGTACAAAGGGTAAACATGGGTACAGCAGGTTACAACACTATAAGAAATGGATACAATGGTTCAGGAGACTGAAATTTTCTAAGTTAAAATTAAAAATTATGGAGCCGATGCTCAGGGTACAGTGGGTACAAAGGGTACACATGGGTACAGCAGGTTACAAAACTATAAGATATGGATACAAGGGTTTAGAAGGCTGAAATTTTCTAAGTTAAAATTAAAAATAATGGATACAAGGTTTTAGGAGATTGGAATTTTTGAACATTTGAAAATTGACTCCCGATCATTATTCTTTGAAAGTCATTATTCGTCTTTATACCAGCAACTCAGATGGCATTGGGTTTAGTTAACAAAAATAGTGTACTTTTAATATTGGTCACTAGGGCTGTGTATTGGCCCCTGATTTCATATTGCGATATTTTTTACTGTATTGCGATATGTATTGCAATATTTTCAATGTAATTTATATAGAATTTTCTTATCATATTTACTTTAATTTACATGCAGAATGTACATATAACTATGATAAGCTCTGGAATGTTCCCACAAAACAACTTCTGTCTTACTGTTTGGCTTAATAACAAACTTCCATAAGTCCATTTTTTTATTTAATGACAAAATTCCTGAATCTAAGCATATTGCTAATATATCAATATTACAAAATCGTACAGCGATATGATATTTTTTGTTATTGTATCGCAATACATGTATATTGAAATATCGATATTATTGCCCAGCCCTATTGGTCACATTATCCAGTGATGGGGTATACAAATGTACTATCAATGAGAAACCCATGTCATTTGGTGAATCGATGGGGGGTCATTGGTGGAAAATACTGGTAAGTTGTAGTTAAAAATCAGCAATGTCTCCACCAATGCCCCACATATCTCCTCTTCAGCAATCCATCATTAACACATCTTAAATGCAAAGATTGGCTGATGGATGGCCGATCAACTGTCCGTTGAATCTGATGTCGTTGGGGGTTGAGTGGTGGGCAACAGACATCAGCCGATCATTGGTCCATGTTCAAACAAACATTGGCCCATAGACGACAGACTAACCAATGTATGAGCAATGTAATATACATTTGTACATTGACCGGTTACCCTAAAACATTTTAAGATTAGCAATTCAACGCTGGGCTTTTGTAAGTCCGGCTGGCAACCACACCATTTTTATCAAAAAACGCATCGGTTGCCCATAGTATACCCCATCGCTGGATAATGTGACTGATACTTTATGGTCTACTAGGCCGATATGGACCCATATCTTGGGGCATGGCTCACACTACAGATTATCTCCAATTACCACTACGTCTACGGCCACCGGCAGGAATGTGAATATGATTTTGGAAACCAGTGTCAAAAAAGCCATGCCATATACCATATAATGCATCACGGGATCTGTGCATTTGTTTAGATCTAGGTCATGGCCTTTAGAAAATCCGCAGATGTAACTGTGGATGCCAAAATGGTGACTGAAACCAAACTAACCTCACATTGCTTTACATTAATGCTTAGTTTTAGAATTTTAAAAGTTAAAAATCTTACATGAATATGTCCATTTACTTTCTGTTAAAGATTAACTTTATCAGTTACAATCCGTGCTTAGTTTTTAATTAAGATTTTAATGATAATGTACAATATTCAATTGTAATTTAATCTAGTAGCTAAGTTTGCACAATCTGAGAAAGAATTTAGTTAAAATAAAACTTTCACTAACACATGCAGTGATGTCACAAAATATAAACTATAAAGGATTAGTGAAAATCATTCAAATGAACCTAGTAAACTCTTTCATCATGTTCATTGTCAACACTGCAATACAGGAAGATCATGAAAATTGAAAAATTGACTTATTTATTATGGGCCTTATACATAAATGATATGTAGGTCACCTGAGGGTTTGTTCCCATCTCGCCTTAACTGTAAAATCTAGCATTCCCATTTCGCCTTAGTAAGCTCTCATGCAACAACTTTCCAACAATTGAATTTGATTCATGTTTTAATCTAGAGGCCATGAAATTCACAATTTTGAAAGAGGCACCATTGCTTATCATAATTATACACTCGGCATGCTTATTTTGGTTACTTAAGGATATCCGATCCTCAGCCAGGAAGGATAACTCCAAAAATTAATATTTAAACTGAATTGCATCAAAATGAAGCTTACAAATTAAATTTTTTCATGCAACAATTTTCATTTTATTTATCTTTATAAGATTCAAGCTCTTTGGAAGTTTTAGAAAAGGTCCTATAAAAGTTGACATTTGTACCCTATAAAAGGAGAAAAAATTAATACAGTTTTAGAGAAATAAGATTTTCTTGAATCCAGCCATAGATATCAATGCTTATTAGCATGATATGAAATGAGAAGTGATTTGTGATGTCTTTCAATGATAACAAAAGC